GGCTTAAAACAATGTCTAGGCCAGGCACAGTGGCTCATACTTGTCATTCCAACACTTTGAGAGGCCAAGGTAGGAGGATCACTTGAGCCAAGGAGTTCAAGACCAGTCTGGGCAACATAGTGAGATCTCATCTCTAGAAAAAAAAAAAAAAAATTAAAATTAGCCAGGTTTGGTGCTGGCACACACCTGTAGACCCAGCTACTCTAAAGGCTGATGTGGGAGGATCGCTTGAGCCCAGGAGGCCAAGGCTACAGTGAGCTATGATTGTGTCACTGTACAACAGCAGGGTGACAGTGAGACCCTGTCTCAAAACAAAACAAAAACATTGTCTGGCACAGAGTGAGTGCAATATGAGTGTTAACTCTGAGTATTATGTGGGCAGGAAAGGCATTTCTGAAGAAGTAACATGTAAGACTTTAGAAAAAAAATGTAGGAGGCTGGGCGTGGTGGCTCATGCTTGTAATCCTAGCACTTTGGGAGGCCGAGGCGGGCAGATCACTTGAAGTCAGGAGTTCAAGACCAGCCTGGTCAACATGGTGAAAACCCATCTCTACTAAAAATACAAAAATTAGCCGGGTGTGGTGGTGCATGCTTGTAATCCCACCTACTGGGAAGGCTGAGGCAGGAGAATCACTTGAATCCGGGAGGCAGAGGTTGCAGTGAGCCAAAATCGTGCCACTCTCCTCCAGACTAGTCGATGAAGTGAGACTCCATCAAAAAGAAAGAAAGAAAGAAAGAGAGGAAGGGGAGGGGAGGGGAGGAAAAAAAGGCAGAACAGGTGCAGTGACTTATGCCTGTAATCCCAGCACTTTAGGAGGCTGAGGTGGGCAGACTGCTTGGGCCCAGGAGTTTGAGACCAGCCTGGGAAACATGGCAAAATTCCATCTCTACAAAAAATATAAAAATCAGCCAGGCATGATGGCATGTGCCTGTAGTCCTAGTTACTTGGGAGGCTAAGGCGGGAGGATTGCTTGAGCCCAGGAGGTGGAGGTTGCGGTGAGCCAAAGTTGTGCCACTGCACTCCAGCCTAGGCAACAGAGTAAGACCCTGTCTCAAAAAAAAGAAAAAAGGAAAAAGAAGTAAAGAGATAATCTGCTCAGTTTCTTGGAGAAAAAAATTCAAATGGAAGAAGATACTGTTGTTGTTTGGATATTTTTCTTTTTTAGAGACTGATGTTTATAGCCAGGCACAGTGGCTCACGCCTGTAATCCCAACACTTTGGGAGGCCAAGGCAGGCGGATCACGAGCTCAGGAGATCAAGACCATCCTGGTCAACATGGTGAAACCCCATCGATACTAAAAATATGAAAATTAGTGTGCCTGTAATCCCAGCTACTCAGGAGACTGAGGCAGGAGAATCGCTTGAACCAGGGAGTCGGAGGTTGCAGTGAGCCAAGATCGCGCCACTGCACTCCAGCCTGGTGACAGAGCGAGACTCTGTAAAAAAAAAAAAAAAAAAAAGAAACTGATGTTTATTTTCCATCAACCTTATTTCCATGTTGCTTAAGAGCCCCTGCAAGAGCCAGGGGTGGTAGCTCATGCCTGTAATCCCAGCAATTTGGGAGGCCGAGATGGGCCAATCACTTGAGGTTGGGAGTTTGAGACCAGCCTGACCAACATGGAGAAACCCTGTCTCTTTCTTGTTGATGTGTCACTCCAGCATGGCACCTTGAAACAGAGCTAGCCAGAAAACATCGGGGACATCAGAGCATTCTGCAGCTGTGAGTAGAAATGTACATGGAGATGCACATGGACATATGGCAGAGCTAACC